TCCTGCAATTGAACACCTTTCTGTCCTGACCCGTCTCTTGTTCTGATTCTTCTAACCGGATGAGGATATGTGATACACTTGCCATACACAACTGAGACATTCAATCAAATACCTTCCTGAAACCTTCCTACACCATTTCCCACCTTGAGCTTGAGTTACCCAACCTTTGAGCCGTGATGGACTTGACACACTACATCCCTTTTTACCATAACATTTCTTCATATGATTTCGGCTTTTTCTGCTTGGAGATTTTTTTTGAGGATCTTCCAAATATTTTCAATTGGGGTGAGATTAGGACTATTTGTTAACAAGTTGTGCTTAATTAGAGATTGTTGGTCACACCAATTGTTTGTTTTTCTACTTTCATGGACTGAAGCTTCATCCTCCATAAGTACAAGATTGGTTGGACAGTTGTGACTGTGGAGTAATGTAGAAAGACACTTTTCATAGACCAATTCAACATAGTCCAATGAAAGAATACAACCAGCAAGCATCACAATATTTTCAAAACTTTGCAGTGAATGTACTCCATACCATCACTGACGTTCAACCACTTCAAAAAGCATGGACCAGGCAGTCAACAAGGTACTTTTCATAAGGCATTCTCCAGACTAAAACTGGTCTGGAGTTCTTCCCAAATTCAAGGTATCATTTTTCTGTCCAAATTAACCTACTCCAGTCTTCAACGGTGAAGTGTTTGTACTTTTTATCATATTATAGACCTATATAATTGTGCATGTCATTGAGAGCTGGATAATTTACTGCTACACATGCAAACATACCCAATTGGTGAATCTCCCTCTGAATAGTTTTTGAGCCAACTTCAGTTGGCAGTAGCTTGGTAATTCTGTATATATGATACAGTAGCCCTTCTATTTTTCTTATGATTGGGCATGCCATTGAGAGCTGGCTTATTTACTGCTACACATGCAAACATACCCAAATTGTGAATCTCCCCCTGAACAGTCTGTGAGCTGACTTCAGTTGGAAGTAGCTTGGTGATTTTAGATACAGTAGCCCTTCAATTTTTTTTAGGATTTTCTTCAGATATTATTCACCATGTTTGGTGAATGTTCTAGGTTGCCCAGCATGGCTTTCACTACTTATAGTGCAAGCATTCTTAAGCTTTGAAATCACATTATGTACAGACAATGGTGGATAGCCTGGTTTGTTTACAATGTGCATGCCTTGTAGAGATCCTTTGTGTGTTCCAGTAATTCTAGCCTTCTCGCTGCAAGTCAATTATTGTGTCTTCATTTTGTGTAAGACAGGTGAGTTGTGATGGTTTAGAGGAACAGTGGTCCATGAAGGACAACAGTTCTCTGAGCTCAGGTGTAAATACTCTGAAATGTATGCAGAATTTTGGCATGGAACTGTACAGTAGTAAAGGATCCTGGGCTCTTTGATATCTTTCCTTGGTCAAGGACTTCAATTCAAAAATGATTCAGAAACATTGGGATGCAGCATCAAGTGTCAGTCAAAGGGACTGGTCCAGGTCAGTGACCCTCTTGGTGACAATTAGTCAGATGTTGCCTGGAAACTGAAAGAATAGGTATATCAGAGATTCAAAGACGGTTTTTAGATGTATGGTAGATGAAGGGGAACTAGGACTTATGTATATGGCAAACAATGGCAAACAAAGTCCAAATTGAACAGTTGAGTAGCAAGTCACAACAACTTCAACCAAATATGTTTCACACCTGACCATTATACAGAGATAATTAGGGTATAAACTACATAAGAAACTTGGTTCTGAGCTTGGCACACTTCATGGGTTTCTTGTCAAGTCAAGCAATGTTGGCCAGGGTGCTGATATTCACAGAAGACTGGTGACTGTAAGTGAGCCATAGTGCAACAACAGGCTTGATGCCATCTTTTCTTCCACCTCAAAAGTCCTATTTCCCTCAATTTATCATGTTGTAATGCTTTGAGCTAGGGCTACTAAAATGCGGTCTCTGATAGCCTAGCTGTCCCCAATCATTCCACTCAGAGTGTCTTCCATATTGGCCTCCAGGCCGTGATAATAATATACACAGGATATCTGTACACCACAGTGCTAAACCCAAGATGAGTTGTCATGTAGACTGCTGTCATTTTCATCCTCTAGACAACCAGAGGATCCCATGGAACATAAATCACAAGTAAATTATTGAACAAGACAACATAGAAATAGAGACAAAGAAATCATTGGCTTGTGATCAGGTCTAGTGTACATATCACACAAATCAAAGACATGAGTGCAGATTCTAGAGGGAAAACATATAGAGAACCTCCTTTGATAGGATTACCAAATCAACGCATGCATCCTGCATGTGAATTCATGTTTTTATTCAAACAGATTCAAATACAGAGATATATAACTATTCTTGAGGAAAAAAGTGTCCTTATTCAAAAGGGGATATCATTTATAAAAGGTCAGGAGTATGATTCAAGTTTTAAATAGAATGTTATCTATCTTATAGTTGTTTCTAGTCGTCTTTCTTGTTGGATACATCCATACGCTTCGGTTTATTTGGGGGTATTGAAGAATACATACGAGTTGAGATAATCACAAGGGCGGTACCTAAGAGATAGTGGCGACCAGGAATCACACCACTGAAACCTGAAGACAACAAAGCCGACACTTTGAAGGAAAATTCATGAAAAAAACTCAGTATGATTGGGTTTGGCTGAAATGGAAGATTTTATAACTTCAGACAAATGAATTTTCAGCTTACAGACTATTGAGAGGCTATTTGCAAAGCTTTTGGTGACGGTGCTACTCTGTGTAACGATGATGAAACCAAGATCCCACCAAGTGCATGGTACATAATCACAGACCAAACCAAAGTGCTATAACCACAAAAGAAGCCTCTTTTGGTGACTTCAATGTA